AGCGCAAGTGGAAAAAAGTCTGTTCTTTCAACAAAGATTTTTTAAAAAAAATTACAACCTAGATAGGTCCCATTATAAAAGCTAGTTATGTGGCAGTATATTTAACAAAATAATCAAAATAATTTACTGATGGTGAATTTATTAAGCAATGTATGGAAAGCATGGCAGATATAATTTGCCCTGAAAAAAAGAGGGATATTTCTAAAACCAGTTTGTCCCACCAGACTATAGCCAGATGAACTTCCCAAGTAGTAGGGACTATGGGCACACACCAGCATGCCCAGTTAATTTTTCTTGTTTTTTTGAGAGACACAGTCTCATTCTTGCGCAGGCCGGTCTCAAGCCCCTGGCCTCAAGCACTCCTCCTGCTGAGCCTCCTAGTGTGCTAGGATTTCAGGTGTGACCCACCACACCTGGCCAACAGAGGTATGTTTTTAAATAACCACAATAATAACCAGGTAACACAAGGTCAATACAGATATAGTCTGACAGACATACTCCAAGGTGAACCCTAGTGAGCCTCATTCTTTTTGAATCCTCTCCCTTTGAATGTGAGTAGAATCTATCACTTGCTTCTAATCACTAAATAGTAAAAAAGATGGAAGTACTCCACATTCACAGACTGAAGAGAGAGATTCTCCTGCTGGCCTCAAGAAAGCAAAGAGCTATTTGGACCTCCAAAGAGGTCCACAGGACCTTGTTTCTCTTTTTTGTTGTAGGTGGGAACATGCCCCACCAGCAGTCTCCTACTTTTTTGGTTCCAAAAACTGATTTCATGGAAGATAATTTTTCCACTGTCTGAGGGGTTGGGGAGGTAGGGTTTCAGGGTGTTTCAAGCACACTGCATCTCCCCTTCAGATCATCAGACATTATATTCTCATAAGGAGCACATAACCTAGATCCTATGAACGTGCAGTTTATAGAAGGGTTTGCACTCCTGTGAGAATCTAATTCACTTTGCATTTTAATTTAGTCACTTACAGGATCAAATTCTGGGTTTGGTTTTCACCAACCTCAGCTCTGCAGCTCAGGGGATAAGGATTTCTTCAGGGCAAACACAGAAACTTTCAGGTCATTTATGTGGAGCTTGAGCTGGGAATTTCAAACTCATCCTTTTTTCCCCCTACTTTTCCAGTTCATTTTATTACACTTATTAATTTGACAAAAATGTCCTAAAGTATCAAATATATGATCATTTTGGTAGGCATATCCAATGGTGATATTTTGCCTATCTCTACTTCCATATCATACCACTATTGTAAGTGCCCTCTCTGCCACTGGAAATAGTCACTAATGCCTTTAAATCCATCACATTACAGAACTACTTCCAGAAACCCCATAACCAAGTCAGAAAACTCATTTTTAAGATCCTGTCCTCTAGAACCACTTTAGGTACTAAAATCTGAATCAGTTAGGGTTCTTCAGAGATCAAGAACTAACAGGGAAAAATGTAGACATAGCTATAAACACATACCTAAACCCAGATCTAAGTAGATATAGAAATACTGTGACTTGAATTGATGCTTCATTCTTACAGAAAATGTTTTCTTCTCCAGGATACCTCCATTTTGCCTGTTACAGCCTTTGACTGAATGAGACCCACCCACAGTTTTAAGGGCAATGTCTGTTAAGTCATCTGATTACAGGTGTTAACCACATCTTCAAAATACTATCATAGCAAGACCTAAATTAGTTTCTGATTAAATAACTAGGTATAGCCTAGCTAAGTTGAACATACATATATAAAGCTAATCACCACACACCTTACAGATTTCTCAACCAAATCTTACCTTCAATAGTAGAAAAAACCTTTTAAACAAGAATATTTTATTTGCTCCAGAAAGATAGTAAAATTTCAGTAGGGACACTTTGGTAAGTGGAATGGAGGAACAGGCCAGGCGCGGTGGCTCATGCCTGTAATCACAGCACTTTGGGAGGCCAAGGGAGGTGGACTGCCTGAACTTAGGATTCGATACCAGCTTGAGCACAAGTGAGACCCCCATGATCCTCTTGCTAAAAATAGAAAAACTAGCTGGGCATAGTGGCACAGCTGCTTGGTAGGCTGAGGCAAGAGGATCACTTGAACCTAGGAGTTTGAGGTTGCTGTGAGCTATGATGCCATAGCACTTTACCCAGGGTGACAGAGTAAAACTGTCTCAGAAAAAAAAAAGAAATCAAGGAATGTTAGAACTGTCCTTCTTCCAAAACTGTTTAGAGGAACAAACTTTCCATGAACCTCTCTTGCCTCCCTCTACTGAACAGCAATCTTAAAAAGTTATATGTAACACTGTATTCACATTTAAAAATTTTTTATGTTACAAATATAATTCTAGAACAGAAATCACACTTTATGCTTCCAGAGAAGTATAAATCACACTTCCTTACAAATGGGTTAAAACAGACTCCATATTTCCTTTTATCTCAATTTTTTGGGGTTTTTGGGTTTTTTGTCCTTTGGTTTTAAAAAAAAAACTTTCTTGGAAATTCAGTAATTCAGTAAGCATCTACCATGTGCCAGGCTGGGTTAAATCACTGTCTAAAATAAAGGTTCCTGTATTGGTGGAACTCACACATTTTAGCAAGATAATATCCTTATCCAACTATTTTCTCTGGGCATAATAATCCAAGCAATCAAAACACTTTCTGGAAATCTTCTATGTATTTGGCAACGTCCAGTTCTAAGGATGACTTCTTAGCAGGCATTGTTTTATTATGAGCTGAGTCTGAGCTCGATAGCCAGGCTGCCTGGGTCTAAATCCTGATTCCATGACTTTTTTTTTACTTACAAGGGGCATGATCTTGGCCAAGTTACTTAACTTAACCTCATATTCTGTAAAACAAAAATAATCATAACTATCCTGCTATATTATGTAAGAATTAAATGCATGCAAATTTATGTAGCACTTAGCTTGACACAAAGAAGATGCTAAAGTATTAGCTATTATTTTAATTTAATTTCCAGAAAACCAAAGATTACTCAGACAATATGGAAGGAAGTAACACTAATAGTAACTTCTAAAACATCTGGCCCATTTACTCCTCACATTACTACTTTCAAGAATCCTTCTATTATGCACTGAACTTACATGACTTCTAGATACGTTTTTAAAAACTACAAAATGTGATCTCTATATATACCACTCACAACTTCAGTCTATTGTTAAGTTTGCATATAGTTATGTAGTTACGAGGCTTTTAATCTATGATTAATTTATTTTAAAAAATTCAACTCACATTCATTTTCTGAAAAAAAATCACAATAGCAATTATCTCAAGAACTTAAGCATCAAACCCAGCAAATACAGGCAATGTAATTGCCCGGTTCTAATGCCTGGATATGTGACTAGGACATCCATTCTCAAGGACCTATACTTTTGCAGTTGTCAACATTCATGAAGTGAGGTTAATTCTCAACCTAGCTCATCCCATATAATAAAAAGAAAAGGCACAATCATCTGAAATTGATGGGTCATCCTTGAGGAAAAAAAAAAGTCTCATTCTTGGTTCAAAGTTCGGAAAGAAACTAACAATTTCTGAAGAGCTAATACGATTTAGAAGCAATTAGATTGGAAAGTACATGCTGCAAATGCCGCCTTCCCCAAAGCCAAGTGGATTTCTTAATATGACTATGTCTACTGACAAGAAGGCAGGCTGGTAAAACACATTTTCAAAGATGCTTTTAAAAGGGAGCAATTTTGGTAAAGAATAATTCAAGATGGATTGTAAAGCTGATCAGTTTTGCATCCTTATGGCAAGGTGATGAGGCACACGTTAATATGCACACACAACAAGGATCTATCCACAAGTTCAGTTTTGACCCCTGCTCTCAGGGTGAAGTCCTGAGCTTTCAAGTTTCGTTACAGTAGGTGCTTTCGACTCCCCAAGAAATCAGGGGTGATGGACCAAAAAAAAAGCACCTTGTCTCACTCCAACCACCACATACCAAAGTTCAGCCAACACAAAATAATGCACTCCTGGGTGTTTTTCAAGAATGGGTATGGACTGCCCCTTTCCCCAGAATCTGACAGAGAAGGGCCTACCATGGCTTCCCAAATAGGGTGATAGGAAACGACTTGCCAGTAGGGACTGGCAAGTAAGTAAGATATTGCTCATTCGAAAACAATTCTAAAGGCGGATGCTTCCAAGCCTTTCCTCAACGGGCTTCCGAGAAAAAGAAGAGGGTTAAAGGTTACTATGGAGGGAGACCCAAAGCCAGGACGTCCTAGATTTACTAGGACGTCGGCCCGACCGAGGACATGGGTGACCTCTTTCGGCTGCCAGGGGCGATGGGGTCATGAGTGTGAATGACCCTCATCCGGCAGGCGGACATCGCCATAGTTCCAAGAGCAGAGGCTCGCCCAGGCAGTTGCCAGGTTCGCGCCTCGGGTGTGACCCCAGGTCTGTTTCCGGATACACGCCCCGGGCTGAAGGTGCCTTTTGGATTCCTCCCGCCGCCCCACAGAGGTCTGGGGCTCAAACTACCCATTAGAAGTCGGGGTCGATGCCTCTTACCGCCGCAAAGGATGGACGACAGCTCCCCGGATGCCACCGCGGTGTTACCGGAGGGCGACCCAGCTAAGCGTGGGTCAGAGTGCCGAATCTGCTGGACTCAGGCAGGCGCTCGCTCCCGACCTCCCCTAGTCCCGACAGCCGCGCCCACCAGCAACGTGCTCGAGAGCTTCGGTGCCCGCTAGGTTAGGCCCTCTGCATACCGCCGCGCGCAGCACGACGGGAATCGTAGTTCCGGCGCGGAAGACGTGCGTCGCGTCATGCCCCTCTAGAGCAACGCCACATGACTCGTGCACTCCCCGGAAGTTACGTAACAAGACACGCGTGGCGCCGGGCCGCGGCTTCCGCAAACAGAACGGTGGATGGCTGTGTGGTGAGTGTGTGGCTGGAGCGCTGGCCCTTCCTTTCTTCTTTTTGTTTGTTCCTATTGAGCCGTTGAGCAGATGAAAGGGGCCCTCCACCTCCTGACATGAGGGAACTCCGTCTTCAGTGCCCGTCACGTGGGGATTATTGTGTCCTCAGCCCGAAGCGGAATGGAACTGCGTGAGGCGGGCGGGCGCTGTTGCTCCTCCAGGAGCGAGCGTGGGTGAGAGAAGCAGCCAGAAAAGTTGCTTCAGCTTGCGACCCGGGGCCGCGCTAATGAGTGGGACTCGAAGGGCCTTTAGAGTTTGTCTGTTTGTCTCGGAAACCCGAACTCGAAGTTGAGGAAGAGGCTGCACCACTGATGGAAGGGGGCAAATTGTGCTGCTTTTTCTTGGGCCCCCGAGTTCACGGTCAAGCTGGCGGGTGGGAGCGTACCGTTTAGCGTGTTTGAGCTCTAGAAGCCCTTGCGCCTTGCTCGGTCGCACCTCGAGAATCCGAAATGTCAGAGACAGGGCTTTCTCAGAGGTGTGACTGGAAAGCCAGGAAGAAACGTTCGTGTGATCATTTAATTGCGTATCCGTCTCGACGTAAAGTGACCATCTCTTTAAGCTCCCTCCTCGAGGATTCTGAGGGACAGTTCTGTGACATTGGGAATGTTTATCATTTTTCCACTTTAAAATCGGTTTTTCCCGATTTTTAACATTGATTTATAATGTACATATTTTTAGGGTAAATGTGATTTTTTGATTCATGCATACGATGTGTAATGATAAAGTCAGAGCAATTAGATGCCCATCGTCTCAAACATTTATCTTTACGTTGAGAACATTCCAATTCTTCTAGCTGTTTTGAACTACTCAATAAATTGCTAACTGTGGGCGCTCTGCTGTAGTGTTAAACACTAGATTTTATTCTTTATATTCACCTGTATTTTTGCTATCCGTTAACCATCCCTAGACCTTTCCCAGACTGTGTCAACCCCCAGTCTGCTGTCTTCGTGTCATCCACTTGTCGTATTTGTCTTTCTGCGCTTAACTTATTTCATTTAACATAATGATTTTCAGTTCCATACACGTCGTTGCAAATTACAAGACTTAATTTTTGAGGCTGAATGATATTTCTTTGCGTATGTATACCACATTTTCTTTATCCATTCATCTGTTAATGGACATTCCTTATTTTGGCTGTTAATCAGAAGTGCTGCAAAGTAGTGCAGATATCTCTTTGATATACCAATTTCCTTTCCTTTAGATATTTATCCAGCAGTGGGATTGCTGGATCATGTGGTAGTTATATTTTTAGTTTTTTGAGGAATCATACTGCTTTCCACAGTGACTACACTAAATTGCATTTCTACTACCAGTGTTATGAGTATTCCCCCTTTTCTGAATCCTTGCCTTCTTCATCTTTTATTTTTTTGTCCTTTTGATAAAAGCTATTTTAACTGGAATGAGATGGTATCATTGTGGTTTTGGTTTACATTTCCTTGATAAGTGATGTTGAGCACTTTTTTATATACATGTTGCCCATTTGTATGTCGTTATTTGAGAAATGTCTCAAGATTTTTTGACTTAGTTTTTAATCAAGTCTTTTTTTTTTTTTTTGAGACGGAGACTCAAGCTGTCCCCCTGGGTAGAGTGCTGTGGTATCACTCACAGCAATCTCCAACTCCTGGGCTAAAGCGAGTCTCCGCCTCCGCCTCCCAAGTAGCTGGGACCACAGGCGCCTGCCACAACGCCTGGCTATTTTTTTGGTTGCAGCCATCATTGTTGTTTGGCGGGCCCGGGCTGGATTCGAACCCAGCCACCTTAGGTGTATGTGGCTGGCGCCTTAGCCACTTGAGCCACAGGCGCCCAGCCTTTAATCAAGTCTTTTTTTGCTATTATTTTAGTTCCAAATATATCCTGGTTGTTAATTGTTTGTTTGATGTATATTTATGCAAATGTTTTCTACAGTTATGTAGGTTGTCTCTTTTCTTTACTAATTGTTTTCTTTGCTGTACAGAAGGTTTTTAACTTGATGTAACCCCATTTGTCTGTTTTTGCTTTCATTGCCTTTTCTTACCCAAAACGTCTTTGCTCAGATTGGTTTCTTGAAATGTTACCCCAATGTTTTCTTTGAGTACCTTCATAATTTCAGGTTTTAAATTTAAGTCTCTAATCTATTTTGATTTCGTTTTTCCATATACTGAGAGGTGTAAATCTCATTTCATTCTTCTGCATTTGCTTATTCAGTTTTCCCAGCACCATCTCTGGAAGAGACTGTCTTTCCCCCAATGAATGTTCTTGATACTTTTGTTGAATATGAGTTGGCTGCAGATGTGACAGTCAGTTTTTAACGTTCTTGTGCATTTCTGTGGTCATGTGGAATGCTGTCATTTATTCTGACTGAATTATGTTTTCATAATATCATGAAATGACCGGTGTAAGTAGCATTCATGTTTAAATCTCAATACTAATTTTAGGTGATGGTTACAACTAAATGTGGTATATCACGTTGCCTTTTTTGGATTTAAAAGCCAATTTGTATTTTCTTATTAGGAAGTTCAGTGGCAGAGGAGGAGAAATAGGAATTTGGCAATTTGGGAGTCAGTTTTCCTAAATAATGATTTTAAGTAGTTATTCTGAAAATTGCTTTTCTGATTTGGTTGTTGTTATTGTTGTTATTGTTGTTGTTCCTTTTTTTTTTTCTTTCTTTTTTTCTTTCTTCCTTTTTTTGCATCTCTCAGTATTTTGTTACCCCAAATGGGGGAGCTGTAAAATTTAATATAACTTGAAACTTCTGCATTTATAGTGACTTGTTTTTACCCATATCTTTAAGCAACTTGATTTATTATCATTTTTTTTCTGTGCTCAAAAGCAAAAGGCTTATTTAAAAAAAAATCCATCATAACTTTCAGGTTATGAATTTAATCTGAATTTGTTAAATTTCACTGATTTTTCTTGGATATTTGCTTTTCCTTTTTTTTTTGGCCGGGGCTGGGCTTGAACCAGCCGCCCCTAGTATATGAGGTGGCACCGGACTCCTTGAGCCACAGGCGCTGCCCACATTTCCTTTTTTTTTTTATTTGATTTGAATAATACAGCATAACATTTTATTAGTGGTAAGTAAGTTGTAAAGTTCTTGAAAATATAGTTCATATTGACTTCCTTTGTAGCAGGAGTTCAGTAAATTTATCAAATAACTTAATAAATAAATGGAACACCTTAACAATTCCTTTTCAATGCATCAGTTATTTCCCTCTCCCTCCCATTTTACATATAGATCTAGGAATCTATTTGAAACAGACTTAATGGTCATTAAACTCCAGGCAGAGTCTTGAAACTTGCCTAAAGCCGTTTTACTCTCTTCACTTTCTCTACCTCATTGGGACACCCATTGTGAAATACTTCAGAAGTCTTTGCTGTAGTTTCTCCTAGACTGTCTGTTCTTGATTCCCTTAGTATCCTTAGACCAAAAGAAATACCTAACATTTCATATTTATTAAATAGTTTACTCCAAAGAATTTATTTCCCAACTCCTAACAACTTTGCTTCTGTTTAAAAATTAATATACATAACCTGGGGGGTGGGGCGCAGGGAGCATAATATTTATTTAATTCTTAATTAACCGCAATCCCTTACTGATGGGATGTATTCACTCACGAGGTTCTGTACAGCTTCAAGTCTTGAAATCAGATTAAAACACCACCAACTGCATTTCATATTTCACCTTGATTTTCTGTGATAGTACCCATTCTCAGTTTCACAAAGTTAGGATGTCATTCAAAGAAATGTACAGCAATCTACTCAGTTAAAACGGTGCTCTACCTGAAGCTGGTAATTTCTGTGATTATCTTCCAGATGACAGATCATGATGCACCTGTTTGTTCTAGTGCCCAGCACACAATTTGGAAAACAAGACTGTAAAGGTCTCAGAATAGAAATGTAACTTTTACATGGATAGCCCTACTTCATTTACCAGTTAAAACCAACAGTGACTTTTATAAGGAATAAGGATGTGGGAAGGATTATAATTAGTACTACCATATTCAGAAATTAATACATACTGTGTATCCATTAACATTTTGTAATATTTTCTCTAGAATTATTTTTAAAACTCCTAATTAATTGTGGAAATTAAACTGTAATTAAAATTGTTTTAGAATCTTAGTGTTTACAAGTATCAAATTTTTGCCCTTCCAGTGTTGGTTTAACAATTCAAGTAATCCAAAATGGAAAAGTCTGCAAATGCAGAGGAGTATAAAAAGATGTCTCTTGAACAGGCAAAATCTTCAGTAAATTCTGAATCAGAGTCTTCATTCAGTATTAGTGAAAATACAACAGCTTCTGGGACTGGACTTTCTGAAAAGACTCCTGTTTGTAAGGAAGTAGGCACACCAAAAAGCAGGAAAGAGTTTGAAGATGATGACCTTGTAAAGGGAAGTTCCAGTTGTGGGGAAGACACTCTGTCCAAGAAAACGAAACTTGATGCTGAAATCGTCCCAGAGCAAAAAGGTGCAGGTGATGATAAAGGCATTTCAAAGAAAAGAAAAAGAGAAAGTGATGATGTTCCAAAAGATGAACCTTCTACTGGAGATGGCACTCAAAAAAAGAGAAAAATAGAACTTGAGGATGTTCCTGAAAAGCAGAAAGTATGTTGAATCTGTTTTCCTTATTTGTAATAGAGTATACCCATTTGAAGTGTCGAGCAGCTGTAGAATAATACTTTTATGTTATTTTGAAATTCTTACTTGATTAGAAACTTGAAAGCCAGTTTTTAGTTTGCTCTTAGTGTTTCAAAAAAGACAAAAGTATGGGGTACAAGTGATTTACTGTTTTTGCCTTTCTTATTAGGTGTTCATATTTCCTTTGTCTGAAGAAGTTAAGATTATCATTGAAGTGATAAATTTCAAAATCATACCCAGCTTTACATACCTTTATTAATGTAATTCCTTAAAGTATAGTTGTTTCTAACTTATGTGTGTGTTTTACACTCAGTTCAGTGGATGCAAATGCCTAATATATTTAGCAAGGGATAGCAAGTCATTTTCATGTGGGAATACCACGTTATAAAGGAATCTGAGGCAGAATCTGGAGTTAGAGGAAGAAAATTTTTAATGAATGAGTAAAATTCTGCCATGGGCCCCGAAGAGGAAAGTGGCTAGTAGGACAGGCTTTTGTTGGTGGTAGAGTGTGAATCCTTATAACAGAGGGAAGCTTGTATTTTAAATGTAGTTTTGAACCTTATTGGCAGCAGAACCATAGGTATAAAACGAAGCACTTCGTCTGAAAAGGGAGGTAGGGGAATCTGAAGTCCTTTTACCTACCATGGCATTTTTATGGAATACCTAAGGGCTTCCGGGAGCACAGATTAAAAATTGTTGTATTAGGAGTGGCATGGTATAATAGAAATCACAGACACTGAATGTATCCTGCTGAGGTCTAATCCCTTTATATACATGATATTTTTTAATTGTTACAGTGGCTTTAATTAATAATGTAATTATGGCTTATTTTGTTCCATTTGAGTAACAACATCCATGGACTGTGTATTGAATTGAATAAGTCAGAACTCTGGAAGAGTATTTGTTTTATTAAGGCATTGACATTAAAATTGTACAGATGAAAGATCATGGTGAAAATTTTAAGCCTAGAGATGTCTTTTCAAAATAGGGAACAGATAATAAACCTTAGGTCTGATGATAATTAGTGGGCTTATGATGGTTAATGTCATTGCTGAGTGAAGTTTACCAGTTTCAGTAGTATTCTGTCCTTTCATAGGTCATGCTGTGGGGCTTTTACCATGTTCTCATCCTGAATTTTATTTTATTCTCTTTTATTTTCAGAGCCTGGAAGAAGGACATAGTTCAGCAGTAGCTGCTCACTACAATGAGCTTCAGGAAGTTGGTTTGGAGAAACGTAGTCAAAGTCGTATTTTTTACCTAAGAAACTTTAATAATTGGATGAAAAGTGTTCTCATTGGTATGATTGCTTTTTGGCTTTTACCTTAGAATTTTTTATTTTAGCTTATGTTTTATTTTATCTCTCCAGTGGTTTAACAAACACTGAGCTACTGGGTCTTTAATGCCTATTCATTTAATTATCAAAACTTGACTTATAAAGCTAGAGCCAAAATGAGGCCTTCAAGGTAAATTATTTTAATATATATTTATGGTTGACTACATACAATATTAATGAGAATTTAATTGACATTAATCAGGCAGTGTGCTTCTATTATACTTTTATGTAGAATTAAAGTTACCTGCTGCTATTAAATAATTATTCTATTTCATTTGAATGGTTTTAGAGTACTGGGATATTGTTAAACATTGAGGTTCCATTAAGTCAAGATCATAGGCAGTATCTTGATTTTTTTTATCTCTGTTCTTTGATGACCTGGCAAAGGTCATGTGTGTTAATTGTCCATTAAACTTGTTTTTCTTGTATGGTTGTTTGGATGAGATAAAGTTTACTTTGAAGATTGATTAAGACATTCAACCTTTGGAACCAACGTTTTATCTGTGAAAACTCACCTTTGAAATTAAACTGGCAGAGAAAATATAATTTAGAATATAATTTTTGCTTTGTATATCTAGTACAGGCATCCTCAAACTATGGCCCACCCGCCACACGCGGCCCGCAGAGGACATTTATCCGGTCCGCCAGGTGTTTTTGCCACTGCTACCTGTCCTACTTAGCAGCTGGCTCGTCTCGGGGCCCACAGTCCCGCCCTCCAACGGTCTGAGGGACAGTGAACTGGCTCCCTGTTTAAAAAGTTTGAGGACCCCTGAGTATGTTAAATAGTCAGACTCTTAAGTGAATTCAGATAATAAATTTTAGAAATTGGTGTGTTTTATAGTTCTTCATAACTGTTTTTTTCCTCTTTAAGCTAGTCTATGAAAAGTAAAGATGCTTTCCTAATTATACTAGAAAAAATACTACACTTGATCTCAGCCAAAAGGCTGAGAAGTTATATAGACAGGAAAGAATAAAACTCTAGTTATGGGTACTTCTTACTAGTTTCAATAATAATTTACTAATATTCAGAGATAAGTTATCTATCCTGAGAAGTAGTAGGAGTAGAAACTAACTAGGTTGATTTTTAATACATTATTTTCATCTTTTGTTTTTTACATTTGTGTTTTATTATAAAAAGTGATTGTACAAGTGAATCTTTCTAAGAGTAGAATATAAATGTCTTAACATAATAACTAAGAAAATGACATAAAGGCTATGTTAACCAGTTTGATGAAAATATTTCAAATTGTATATGAAAACACCACACTGTACCCCATGATTGCATTAATGTACACAGCTATCATTTAATTAAAAAAAAAAGTGATTTGATTCTGCCAATTGTCAGTTGGGGTAATGAGTATTCACTTTTTTTCTTTTTTTAAGTTTAATATGGTTCTTAAGGTTCTTTCTAGACCCTAGTCCTAATTTCTTTTTTAACTTTTCTTTTCTCATTATTCTCGGTGATGCAGATAACTTACCACTGGACATTTTTTTATAATACAGCATTTGTTCTTTTTTTTTTTTTCACTGAATGAGTATGTTTGCATCTATATTTCCCATATGTTATTTTTATAATCCAGGAAAAAAAACAGGTAGGTTTTAAAATGACTTAAGTTAGACTTGGCAAAATTTTCTCTCAGCATATTCATGGTATTGTTTCCTTCCTCAGCTGTTCTAACGACTCTCTCAATGAACACTTTACTATCTACACCTGTCTTTCAGGTCCTCATGCACTCAGTGTGATATGTGCCAAGCTTTCTCTATTTTTCCTTTTATTAGCACTCATTCTATGTTATTTATGTTCTCTTCTTATTGCATATAGTAGGCGTCCTCAAACTACGACCCCTGGGTCACATGCAGCCCGCCTAGGACATTTATCTGGCCCACCAGTTGTTTTTGCCACTGCTGCCTGTCCTGCTTAGCAGCCAACTCGTCCCAGGGCCTGGAGTCCAGCCTTCCAACAGTCTGAGGGACAGTGAACTGGCCCCATTTAAAAAGTTTGAGGACTCCTGGCATATAGCTTAGAGTGTGGCTGTTGAATGTAATAATTTTTTTAAAAATAATATTTCATGATAACTTCTTATTAGTCTTGCAGTATAGAAATAAAGATATTTTACAATTGTTTTTCATTCTTCTACTTTTTGTGCTATTAAACTTGATGGCAGGCCGAGTGTGGTTGCTCATGCCTGTAATGCTAAGACTTTGGGAGGCTGAGACAGGAGGATCACTTGAGCCCAGAAGTTTAAGGCTACAGTGAGCTATGATGACACCATTCCACTCTAACCTGGGTGGTAAACCTTTTTTTTTTAAAATTTTTGTTACTAGTTCTTGTATTTCTTTTGGTGGTAAACCTGACATCTTTTTGATATCAAGCACTCTTCTCATTCTATAACTACTTGATTTATTTAGGTGTGTAATAAGTTAACACCTAGCTGTAGAAAGATGATAGCTACCAAAAGAATTTTGAATTTCTCTTATTCTAAACAAGTGTTGGGACTTGTATTAATTAGAATTTAAAATGTCTGCCATTTAATCAGATTCTGAAAGTAACTTTCAAAAAGCTGCCTTAACTTTCTAAAGTACCAGACCCATACTCTTTAATGATAGAAATCATGTTAATTAACTTAGTTGTATTTTGAAATACTTATCAAAAGTTACAAATAAGTTACACAAATGAGTGTTTGTTTATGTTACATGCTACATAAGAGGCAGAAATTAGTAGGTTATTAGAGGTAATAGTTTGTGATTTAGTAAAAACAAAGAAGAGATCATTTATGAAAACTGATTTTTCTCTTTTAGGGGAATTTTTAGAAAAGGTGCGACAGAAAAAAACCCGTGATATCACTGTTTTGGACCTGGGATGTGGTAAAGGTGGAGATTTGCTCAAGTGGAAAAAGGGTAGAATTAACAAGCTAGTTTGTACCGGTAAGATAAATAATTGTCTGGGGAAGAATAATTCATGGTCAGTCAGGTAAATGGAAAACATGAAAGAATCTACTTATCAGCATGATGCTAAAATAGACTTCGCAGAATTATCTAACTAACCCAAGGTATCTGGAGACTCTTCATGAGATGGGTATTTTTTTAAGTTACTTATAAGACTTTCTCCTAATGGTATTATTATAAAGTTTATAAGCCTGGGATGAGTTTTCCTTAAAGGAAGCTACCAAAGATGGTAAGTCTTATCTAAAGGACAAACTTTAAAAAGTTCCACTGACCAAGATGGAACAATTTGAACATTGAAAAGAATAGTGTTTGGACACATCAAATAAAGGAAAGAGCCTGTTGTTCATCCTTGAAAGTTGCTAAGAAGCTTGCTATTCTGAAACTCATAAATTAAAGGGAGGAAATCAAATATATTCCTTACCTTGCAGTGTGTAAGTGGTATTTCAGGGTAAGCAAATGGTTGAAAAGGCAGTTCCTCTCTATTGAGAAATCCTAACAAGTAAATAGAAGAGGAATGATAGAATTTGAAAATCACTATTTTGTCATCCTTGATGAAGTTATAGATCTAGGCAACATTTTTTTAAAAGATGCTGAAGCCATTAGGTAAAAGGTTGATACAGATTTAAACTTTTTTATCTTAATGTTTATTTAATTCTAATTTTTTTTTTTTTGTCACACGAGATCCTTTGGGAAGGTTGATGGGAATTTAATGAATGAGTCAAACATGAAAGCCCAACGGTCAGTCATAACCCTGAAGTGGGACAAACATTCTTTTCTGTGTGCTGGGTTATAGGAATTACATGGTACCACCTCTAAAGTGACTGCCTGAATAGCAGTTCTCAATGTTTTTGTTTTTATGAGCCTTGTACACTCTTAAAATTATTGAAGATTCCAGAACATTTTTGTATGTATAGTTCTATCTATTGACCTTTACTATGTGAGAAATTAAGCCTGAGAATTTAAAAAATATTTTTAATTCATTAAAATAAATTGAATGAGAAATCTGGCTTTTTTTCTTCTTACATTTTTATAAATCTTAGAGTTTGGCATAATAGGAAACAACTGATTTCTCAAATCTGTTTTCTGCATTTACTATATTGTGATCTTTGGTTGATAAACTGAAGTAGTATATTAATAACCTTTTTGAATAGTTGTAGATACTCCTCTTTGATACTTTATCAAAACCCAACAAATGGTAGTTTCTTAAAAATTAGTTACAATATGGAATTGGAGACCTTATGGATCAACTTTTCTTACTGTGTCATATTAAAATCCATTGGTCTGTCATGTAATTCTTGCATGCATTTGTAATATTGGAAAATATTTACTAAAGTTGTGCAGATCTTTTGTCTATATTTGACATCAAGAAATCATGTTTAGGGTGGCACCAGTGGCTCAGAGGGATAGGGTGCTGGCCCCAGATGCCAGAGGTGGCGGGTTTAAGCCCAGCCCCCGCCAAAAACTGCAAAAAAAAAAAAAGAAAAAAGAAATCATGTTTGTTTAATAACACCACCAATCAGAGTAGTTCTAGGAAGACGTCTGGTCCATGGTGGTCTATCTGAGTTTTTCAGAATTGTATTTTTTGCTTGAAAATCAAGTTGATCATAGGTAATATCTTTTCCCGTTGTTTTTCTTTAAGTGACAGGTACACTTTGTTTTCTGGAATATACATGCCAGTTATTCAAGTCTGAATAACCATAGTCAGGCAGTCAAAAATGATTTTGTATAGAAAAAAGTGGCCAGTATAGCTCAACAATTCAGAACAGTCGCTTCATTGCTGTTATTTAAAATGACCATCACACTTTGTGCGGCAGTAATGTTTTGTTATATCCCATTTCATTACACAGAATATTAAAAAGACATGTATTCTAGAGTCAAGATTTAATTAACATTAATTTTTACTGTTTTCTCAACGATATTCCTAAATGAAAAGCTGGCTTTTCCCTCTGCCTAGTATATGATGGAAGAATACGCACATATATGGAGTATTACCATACTTTTTAGTGTTCCTACTTTTGTATTTGTGACAAGGTGGCACTATTGCCTTTGCATTAGTACTAACAGGGAAAAGGACAAATGACATTTTATTGTAAAAATAGAAATCTGGTATTTCCAAAAGTAGGCTTATAGTGTTAATTGTATAATTCAGATTGGAATGTAAACTGTTCTGCTTTTTACTTTAGTAAGCATTTAAAAGTTGTGATAAGAATTTCAAACAGAGAAAGAGGATGTTTCTATCTCTGCACTGACATTGTGTCTCTTCTCCATCATGAGCGAGTTCTGCTTTCAACTCTATGGAAGTGCTTTAAACTTTACACTGAAAACCTGAAAGTCATGATAGAACTTTTCCTGGTATTAGGATCTACTGAGATAGCTTTTAGTTTCTTTTTTTTTTTTTTTTCAGTTTTGGCCAGGGCAGGGCTTGAACCCACCACCCCCAGTATGTGGGGCTGGCACCCTACTCCTTGAGCCACAGGCACTGCCCAAAAGCTTTTAGTTTGTTTTGAAGAATAACAGCATGTTTGCATTGGAACAAAGAGTTGTCAAAGGAAATTGATAGAACCTTTTTACTGGGACCTAGGCTGGATTTCATGCTGAAGTTTATTAGTTGAAATCAGTGGGTACATTCGTGCCATTCTGTCTTGACTGTTACTGGCACTTTTCTGTCTTTCCAGATATTGCTGATGTATCTATCAAACAGTGTCAGCAGCGGTATGAGGACATGAAAAATCGTCGTAATAACGAATATATTTTCAGTGCAGAATTTATAACTGCTGACTGCTCAAAGGTAGAGTTTCCTTTTTTGACCAATTTCGTTTTTACATTTTTAGTTTAGATAAATTCTTTTAAAATCTCATTTTTTAGAATTTGATTTGAAATATTAAAAATCTTAGGACATGCATTTTCACTTTGAATTAGAAATTCTGTTATGATAAATTGCCTTAAATGACTCACCAGGTACTTGTGATTTTTGGCTTTTAATAATTTGAGTTGTTGAAATCATTTGTTGCTTTTCTATTTGGACAAGATTTACTTTCCAATATTTTGAAATAGAATGGAATTTATAGTGTATTTTGTTCACCTTTGTAATTTATTAGGATACTTTCCCAACATGTCAGAGTCTGTTAGGTTTTTTTCCCACCTTCTAAATACTTGGGTTTTTATTTTTATTTATTTATTTATTTATTTTGAGATCAAGTGCTACTCTGTTGCCCTGGGTAGAATGCTATGGTGTCATAGCTCACAGCCACTTCAAACTCCTGGGTTCGAGTGATCTCTTGCCTCAGCATAACCAGTAGCTGGGAAAAACAACTAATTTTTTAATTTAGTAGAAACAGTGTCTTGATCTTGTTCAGGCTGGTCTTAAACTCCTGAGCTCATACAGTCCACCTGCCTCACCCACCCCCCAGTACTGGGATTATAGGAGTGAGTGAGCCACCTTGCCCGACAACTTGCATTTTTTTTTAATGCTAAAGGACAGGTTTTTTTTTTTTGGAGACAGAGCCTCAAGCTGTTGCTCTGGATAGAGTGCCATTAGAGTGCCATTGAGTC